GTTTTTTTTTTTTTTTTTTTTTTTTTTTTTTTTTTTTTTTTTTTTTTGCACAATTCTGTTCATTTATTCATATATATATATATATATATCGGAAACTATATTGTAATATTGAAATATTACATTTTTAATTATATTTTTACTTATAAAATATTATTCAATTTATTGAGGTATTTTATATTTTTTTTCAATAGAAGTCTATCAATTAAAATTTAAAAGGAATAATTTGTTTAAAAAATAATAAAAATGGAAGAAAAAAATTACATGTTACGCCGTGAAAATAAATAAGTCTGAGGTGTGCAAAAGTACCAGAATACCCTCCCGACGCCTGTAGGACTAAACTTGTTTTGTTAAAGAAGAATCCCGAGAAAATCCGCTCTCGCCTCTGACTGAATCGCGTGCAAGAGATCGGCGAAGACGTCCGTCGCAAGAAATCCTCTCTCTCTCTCTCTCTCTCTCTGAAAACACCATAACTATATCTTCTCTTTCTCGCAATCTCCATTTCCTTCACGCCATCTCAAATCCTTTCTCCCAAGCCTTCAAACTCCACTTTCGCTCTTTCCTCCTTGTCTTCCTCAGCTTTCGTCTCTGCTTTGGTTTCTGATCGGACAATATTCGCTCAATGTGACTTCTGCCGGTAGTGTCTGCTGTAACTAATTTTGGGGATTCGGAACTAAACTGGCGAAGTTTATTATTTTCTTCCCCGATACGGTAACTCATTTCTACCTTTTCCTTTGTTTAATCTTGTTTATTTACTGGTTACGGTGTTGGGACTCTGGATATTGGATTTGAGTCAATTTTCGTGGGATTGAGTTTTTATTGAATGTACGGTGCTCTGTTGTTGAACTCTGTTTCAGGTGAAATTTGGCGGGAATTATTTGTGTATTGATTGTGTTGTGCAGTGAGTTAGCGATTCACAATGTTGGGAGAAATAATGGTTCGATGCCTTCTGTAAGTTCTTGGTTTCTTCGGTTCTCTTTTTTAATATTCTGAGGTGAATTTAGTGATTGACAAAGGATGATCAATGTAGGATGCTGTTCGGCTATGCATATCCAGCGTTTCAATGCTACAAAACGGTTGTGCAGAGCCGGATTCATATCCGAGAGCTTCAATTCTGGTGTCAATTTTGGTAACAACGAGTCCATTTTTGCACTTCCATTTGGTGGAATGGTTGATAATTTCTGTCCTGATCTGCAGTGTTGCCTAGTTTTATTTCTCCTAATAATCAAGAATTTATTTCTCAAATTACGTTCCAATCCTTCTTATTATCGTTGATTTACATGGTGCAACTGTGATGAATGATGATTGCCTTAGATTTTTGTGTTTTGGAATAAAAGTGGAAAAGGTTTTCTCGACGCTCTTTGTTGCTTTGGCTTTGGCCTTTGCCTTTGTCTGCTTTGAACAAGAATTTGAGTAGCTTTCACTCCACTTTGTTATTGATTATATTACTTTTAAATTGAATTCCTATTTATTTAATTGATTTCAGGATCATTGTGGCCATTTTAACGGTTATTGAGAGGATTGCTGACACTTTAGTCGCATGGTATGTGTAACCGTCTTTCCTTTTCTTTTCTTTTTTCCCTTTTTCCTGTAGGAATTTGAACTGTGTTGCATTTTTCATCATTTCACCTGCGCTCAAAATTTATGTTCCAAAACCTTTGTGAAGGATGCCCATGTATGGAGAACTGAAGCTGGCTCTGTTTATCTATTTGTGGTATCCAAAGACTAAGGTAAGAAAAGTGAGTGAATTATTCTGGGAGTAGCTTTAGGATAAGATGTAAAACACAGGACATATCCAGAGCACCTAATCTATGAATAGCGTAAAGTAGTTAGTTCTAATTTGAACACAACTTTCTTAAAGGTGGCCAAAGCTGTAATGTTTGTTAATGGGGACGGCTAAAACAATGCAGGGAACAGGCTATGTGTTCCACACTTTGCTGCGGCCCTTGGTTGATAATCACGAGATAGATATTGAGCAGAAGATGGTGGATTGGAGAGTTAAGGCCTGGGATTTGGCCTTGTTCTACTGGAGAAACTGCACTGAGTTGAGCCAATCTGCTATCGTCCAAGTTATTAATTACATGGCCTCTAAGCCTGCAGCAGCCCCACAAGCCAGGGTAACGTTCTAATCCTCCTCCTTGAGGGAAAGGAAAACACCCCTCTTAGTTTTAGCAGCAAAATAGAACGAAACAGCACTCATCTTTCCATTGCCTTTAGACATTTACAAAAACCTTACCAGGAATTGAACCCGGCAAGAGCATATCTATACCCATTTAATTAGAGATATAAATTTACATTTTTCAGAGGAACGAGCATCATCAACATTCAAGCGCGCCGCCACCTCCGCCTCCTAACGACCTGCCTTCATTCTTCCGGAAAGCTCCAAGGCAGAGCAAAGACTCGGACAGAAGTAAGGCCAGGAAGTGGTTTCCAAGTCCCCCTACTCTGCTCCGTTCCAGTCGTCGGCGTTCCACAACCACGGCGGAGGAATTTGATGTGCAATTTCCCCTCCACGACCAAACAAACTATTTTTATAGAGATCAAAATCACAACCAGGCTCGATTCAGAGGATCGAAAACGACCCATTAGAAGTCGCCAAACAAAACTGTACAGGAAAAGAAAAAACTGCAAACTCTGTCCCCAACCAAACGAAGACAAAGGATAGATTCATTTTGGAATTTTTCTTCAAATATTTACATACCTTTTTATTTTTATTTTTTTTGTTTCTTCTTCTTCGACTACAGTCACAGAGGTGTATGTGTGTATAATCATCAATACACAGCATAGAATAGAAACAGATGACTGATTTCAGTCAAAGAAGAGCTGATTTGTATTTCCCCCGATCACCATTATTAGACAAAACTGACCCCAACAACGCGAAATATTCGATTAAAAGCGTTGGTTACACTGGAAATTATGGGCAGGTTGACGAAGCTGAGCCAAGCTGAAAATCTAAGCCAGATACGGTGGAGGAGGTGGGGTCCAGAGGAGCTCGGGGAGGAGGCCATGGGCTGAAGATAGGCCCACGCCGCCTGCTTCACAAGGCGGTTGCGGATCGAGATCTCGTAGCCGGAATTTGCTGCAGAGGCGGCGGTAGGGGAGTAGATAGCGGTAGCCGAGGGCAAAATGTCTCTGAGGGAAGTGTAAGCAAGGGAGGGGGAGGAGGAGGAGGATTTTATTGGGACGAGCTCGAAAGCCAACGGTAGCTGCGGCGATGACGCTACACCCCGGGAGGACTTGGTGGCGGCGAGAAGGCTTAGCTTAGATGGCACGACGACGGGCACCGTGATCGAGTTTCTGCGACGGAGATTGGGCAGCGGTGGGTCTGGTTTTAGAGCGGAGGTCTGGTCCATGGCGGCGGAAAGAGAGAGTTAGAGAGAAAGAGAGAGAGAGAGAGATGAATTTAATTTAGGTGGAAACTGGGAGAGAAGCAGGAGAAGAAGAAAGAGACACAGTTATTATGTGATTCTGGGTGGGTGGCGCGTAATTGCATTAGGAATAGAAGCATCAATTATTGCAGTATAAATAAAATAAATAAATTGTCTCAATCGTTTATTATTCTTTTAACACCAGCGCCTCATACTTTTTCTTTTTAATTCTCAAAAAGGGCAGAAACAAAATATTATTTTTCAAATTCCCAATAAGCTCACAACATTAAT